TTTTAATCAAATCTCACTTTGATCCCTATACATGTGTCAATGTCCTATTTCTGTTACTCAATTGTTTAAACCTTTAACAAAATTTAATCATGTGACAAAAATGTGACTACGACATGAGGGTGAAAGAAAAAAATCATCTACATTTTCCACCAATACAAACTTTGTCCAAAAAATTTACATCAAATTATGACTGTATCAGGCTAAAACAAAAAGTAGATTGTGAAAGATTAAGAAGATGAATTAGGATTCTGCATAAATTAGAACCACGAAACTCTACTGGGCTTTAGCTCACCCCATGTGGACAACAACTTTCAGGTACTGATGATATGCCTCCACCAAAGAAATAGAGCTTGGGAGGATCATGGAGCCGAGTGCTTCTTTTTGTTCTTTTGTGTAAATGTTATTATACAAGCCTTGGGCTTAATATGTATTGAGTTTAACTCATTTTTGTTGTACTCAAGCATCGACTTGGAAAGATGTAGCCATTAGAGCATTAACTTATTTGTACTTGCTTTCGTTTCATGTGATTACCACATGTCATATGTTATAAATTCAGGATCTAGGATTTATGAATGTATACATGCATGTGTCATCTTTTATACAGTAAAGAAGAACAATGAAAGGTTAATATTGTATAAACTTCTGCTTTTCCATTGAATATTATGAGGTGGTTTGTAACTATTTTTTAGGCATTACAATTTAACAATAAAGTGTCTAAAGTGTCTCTAAGTCTTGAAATTTTTTAAAATTAGTGGGACATGTTCAGACGTATGCTCAACAAGTGCTAGGAAATGTCCGACTAATGTCATGTCGGTATTCGAGACGATGTCGAACACGACACACTACCTTCTTAGAAGTGTTTGTACTTCTTAGATGCCCACAAAATGCTATGTCGTTCAAATATTTGTTTACTATAAGGATTAATTAGAAGGTTAGAATATTGCTACGAGAAATTTGTTGATAGAAATTGGATGGAATACATGTGGAGTAACCCATAAGATCATTGATTGATGAAATGTAGCCCAAAATTTGATTGGATTGGCTATGGCAATGACCCCACTTTTAAGGGTAACCTGCCCACTCTGCCCTTAATATGATGAGTTTCAAAAGCAAGCAAATAAGGTAGCGGCATTTTTGGGTAGCATTACATAAATTTGCCTAAGTTTGGTGTGGGGCTAGAAGCCAATGTTACATGGACTATTCAATTTCCCCTAATGCACCCATGTGTAATGGGTATGACGAGGATATGGAATGTGTCCAACTCCCGTACCAAAATTACACTAGGATCCTCTAATTTTTATGATGTCTCTAGAAAAAGAAGCTTACATTTGATAAGAAAATTTCTAGATCATTAATTGCAAATACATTCTTGAATAATGACACTTAATGTCATATTTATTTACTAAAAATATTTAAATGTTTAGGACGTGTCCACTTACCCTTGCCCAACTTTGAATATATACCCCTCTATATTATAAGATTTAAGGTTTAAGGAGCTCTAATGCCTAGACACATACACCCCCGATGCTCTTACCTAAATTAAAGTGAACTTGCATTGTCCACACCCCATTTTACCCATTCTACAATCTTGCCCCTTTATACCCCTCTATTAATCTTGAAAGCACTTCATTTGTTTGTTAATAATTGTGTGAATGGAGAGAAGTTAGGCTGGCTGAGGCATGCTCCTTGAAAAGATGGCAGACATTGATATGGACTAAGAACACTGGAAGTGGGAAAAAGAGAGAACTAAGGACAACCCTAGCAAAAACAAAGGGTGGTAGTGATGCACTGAAGAGTAGTCAGAGCCGACCAAACATGGCTGTGATGATCCCTCGTATGGAGATCTCCTTTATATGCAATTGCAAGCCAAAGGAGTGCCAGGTCAATTGAGAACACGTAGCGTGACTACCTTGGCTAGACAAAATGGAGGGAAGCATGCAGAGCTTAGGGGGAGTATCATACAGGGTTAGATGGTAGGTATGATAAATCCCTTTCTGAGTGTCAGGCATCACAGAGGTAGGTATGATACAACTTCCAATGTGTCAGGTCTCTGTCACAGCCCCTTTCTCACTAAGCCTAGTCTTGGCATGCCTCACCTCCATAGCGTCTAGATGAACCTCAAGTTCTAGCCTCCAATCCACAAGTCCTCTGGTGTTCCAGAGCACGTACTTGAGCCTTTCTCCCAGCCCAAGTGATCATGGAGTCGTCCTTTTGTCGAGGTGGAGATAGGACTCCGTGGAGTTGTTGGTAAGCCAAGCAACCAAGTCAATTGTTTACAAACTTTGACATGAGGCGAATTGGCTGACTTGGTGGGGTAATCGAGCAACCAAGTGACCAAGACAGCCAATTCTGACCTCGGCGAGCTTGAGCACCACCCAAAACATCCGCCTATGGTCCACCTGTCCGCCATCCTATGGTGAAATGTGGCGCTTTATGGCAGTGTTTGATATGTGGCACACGTCAACATGTCCACATATCAACATGGCCCACGTCAACATGGCCCACATACGCACAAGAGTTATAAAACTAAGTTCAGTTCATGCGCTATCTAATCATTTCAAAACGCACACATTCCAATTAGTCACAACATTGTGGCAACAAAAATTCTTAGTTCCTCACTACTGTGCATCATTATTGTCAAACAATAATGAAGGTCTATAAAGGGTTTATAGAGTCCTAATCAAATTGATGTGGGAAAACATTATTAACCCAAGTAAATAACATTAATTTATATCATGGAACTAATATAAAGAGAAAAAATAAGAGCTATTTTCCCACAATGACACATTAAACCAAGTGAAGTTCATTTGCCTTGACGAAAGGAAAGTGGCATCCAGCATATCCAATCCACCTAAAGTGCTGGTTACAGTAGCAGGTTGTACACATGCCACGTGAAGTCAATAGTTGATATCAACTTGCTTGAATGACATGATACACATATGACATGTGCAATTGTGCCGTTCACTTTGATGCAAGTTTCAAACTTGCCAGTGAACCTACCCAAGTATGATTATGAATTTTCCATTTCTCAGCCCAGCCCGTCACAGCCTCATAGATCAAGGACAAGCTTGGAAGGCTGTATCTCTTCCCCAAGAAGTATAAATGAACAACGAAAGCATGAATTATTCATTAACCAAATGGTGGCAAGCGTGTGGATGAAATTATTTATTGAATTGGTAGAAGCCAGATCTCGCATTACAAGTCATCATGTTTTCCAAGGATACAAAAAACTCAAGCCATAAGGTGGTTTATTGCAAATAAGTTGGTTGCATCTGAAAAAAAGGTACTTTGATATGCTAGAGGGAGCCTAGGAAGCACGGATACGGCGATACGACAAAACTTAAAAAAGTAGGATACGGGTACGGCTAAGATACGTTCATAAAAAATATTTTAAACAAAATTATTAGCAATGAGTTACACATAAACTCAAGAATGTAGAGAGACCACAATGTAATTTTAAAATGCAAAACACTAACCTTTAAAAATTAGGTGTTTACTTTTAAAATTTTCAATAGGTCCTGTAAATATTTCATTTCAATATCATGTTTAATATATTTATATTACAATAATAGACAATCCACAATTTGTTCCTGTGCTTTTCCCTTTGGCACTAATAAAAATATTGTATTCAAGTTTACTTGCTTATTTATTTATTAATTTTTAATTTTACTATTGTTATATTTTCTTGTTAATCCTTACTTTCTATGTAGTTATAGAGGAAATGCATGAAACAATAAGGATACATCAATTTGAAAAAATTTATTACTTTAACTCTCATTATGTTCTCATCAAATGACTAAATAAAGCATTAGGAGTAATATGTGACTTCAAGTATCTGATTTTTCCAAATTAAGTATCTAATATTTCAAAATTAAGTATCTGATACTCCAAAATTAATGACAAAATAATTAAGAAGTATCCGATACTTTTAATACGTATCCGATACGTATTCACAAGTATCCAAAGAGTATCGATATCCAATACAGATACAATACGAATACGTCTCCCTTTTTGAAGTATCTGTGCTTCATATCCATCAAGGTAAGTTGATATAAATCAATAACCATGTGAAGTCTTAACAAATTTATTAGCCAACTATATTTAGTCAATGCCACGTTATGAGGTCGTGGTAGTAAACAGATTATTAAGTACCCGCACTCGTATGTTTGTGCCCAAATTCTATATAATTAACTAAAAAAATTTGTTAAAACAAATGCAATTTGATTTGCCAATTCTGCAAACTTTATTTCTATAGTGAAAAATATATATATATATATATATAATTCCAAGATTTGTAAGCTTTTGCTTCTCTTTAGGCCAAGTGGATTTTTCATTGCTCTATGTAAATTTTTTAAAAAAAAACTAGATAGAGAAGAGATTAGGATTTGAACCTAAGACTTTAAGTCTATGTAAAGAACACTCTTACCACTTGAGTGGCACAGAATATATAGTGAATTTTTTGTTTTGTTTTTACTTATTTGAATTACACATGCATCATGTGTGCCAACCGCAAGTTTATATAATTCCAAGATATGTATTTTATATTATACCAACTTTAGACCCTTTATGTGTCCTTGATTCGCTTCGTACGACTAATATGAAGAATAAATCTATATATCAATCTTGTAGTAAAATTTATTTACTTCCAATTAAACAAGTCACCTATACTCCCACAATCTTGGTTCCTCAAAACTAAATGTGGAAAATTGGAGCAAAACAAAGAGGGTGAGAAGTAGAGAGTATCATTTGGAACCAAAATTTACACTCACATATGAGCGCATGGGTGCACACTGAGACAAATATATATACATATATATATATATATATAAGTAAATCTTAGTAGAACAGGAAGTGCCACAAAGGGAGGGTGCAACCTGGTATTTTATATACAGACACAAGTTTTAAACTAATAAATGTTGAAATTAGTATCTGTATGAGATACATCTCTAAAATTTAGTTTTTTGAATCACATTCAATTAAGGGAAGAGACAAGGTGATACCTTGGCTGCTGAGCTCTTCATTCAGAGGTTCCTCGTCGGAAAACCTACCACTGGATGACAATGGCCTTGATGAGACCACCGATTTGGCTACCAATTGAGATAAAACCCAATCCTTAATGCCCATCATGCTTTCTGAAATGACAAAAATAAATAAATAAATAAATAAAAATAAAAGGGGAAAGAAAAAAAGAGACGAGAAAAAGGAGACTAAGCACATAAAGAAAGTTTCTAACACCTTCATGGAAAACAGTGTTAATAGTATGCAACGGTGAATAAACCTAAAAGCAATTATGATTGAAACAACTTGCATAAATTGAATGTCAAAACACATTATCGTTGTCATATCAACAAATTCAGTTAAATGTATTAGTTCAAGTAGCAAAATTTCCAAATTAAATGTGTTTCTATTTTTGTTACATAAGACCAAAATACTGGAGATAATCAACTAATGGTAACCTGAACCCATCCAAAAACCATTCAAGACCTTTCTTTTCTCTCTTTTGTGATAAGTCCGAAACCATTATGTACCTGATTGTGGTACTTCCAAGCCTCCTTGAATTAAGGCAAGGCCAAGCAGTTAATCATTTTTTGATTTTTGACCTTTTTAATAGTCATCTGTAAATATTATTGAGTCGTTGACATCTCCAATCCCAATAACAAACATATGGAAGAAGGCATGTCAAATATTAGACCATCTATACAGTTTCTCAATTTGAATCTTAGAAATTAAGATTCAGTTACACAAATCTTGCTAATTCTATCTAGCTTGGGTTCTGATTCCATAAAATCAAAACATTTCATTTCATTTCTCACTTATCATAATTTGTCCACCACGCCCTTTATTTTATCCTGACAAACCCTCAAAACCCAGACCACATCACTCCGTTTTACTAGTGAACCACCTGTGTTAACAAGAGTAAACCATCTCAATAGGCATAATCTCATCTTATTCCAGCTATTGCCATTTCCAACTTCCTTCCCTTACACAATAATTTCTTATTATTTCTGTAACTGACTATAATTAATACAAATATCTTCTGCTTTTTTTTTAAGAAGCCAATATCTTCATGTAATTTCTTAAAAAATCAACATATTACTAAACCATGTATTATGGCTAGTCTTATGCTGTGTTACATGGACTCACCGGTTTAGGACAGAGTACCTATGTCGATACGACACAACACGGGTGCAGAGAAGGACGTAGGACGTTACCGGAGTTTGATGAGCTTCTTACACGGGAGGATCTCTCTCTCCCTCCCTCCTTCCTTTCCTGTGTATTAGACTGAAAAGTCTTTTTCCAAAGGAAGAGAAAAGTCTCCTACTAAGACTGAAGAATTTATTTTGTATTTGTACAAAATGACTTTTGATATAGCTCTGCAGGTAGTGAAATCCAGCTGGCCATGTATTCTTTGTATTGCAAAATGTGCCTTGCACAAATATATATGAAATCCAACTAGTTGATTTATCCCATGTGACTGCTGTGTTAACAAGTTAAAAGCAATCAATATATACATATATACTATCAATAAAAAAAATATATGCACATAAAAAAAAATTAACAAAAATACACATTCCCATGTGACTGCTGTGTTAACAAGCTAAAAGCAATCAATATATACATATATACTATCAATAAAAAAAAATATATGCATATAAAAAAAAAATTAACAAAAATACACATTATATATTTAATAAATATTTAAATAAAGCTAAAAAATATATATTTATGTATTTTTTAATTATTTTAAATTATATATACAAAAAATCTCAAGAACATTTATTATATAATTTTTTGACCATTTATAAATAAATTTGATTAAAACATTTCGTATAATTTATATACATTAAATACAAATTATATTTGTAAAAGCTTAAATTATATTTATGGACACTTTATTTTGTCTATCCAATTTATCGCAATTAATTAGTTAATATATTGGTTAACCATATTATCAAATTATCTATCGAGCCATGAAAAAGATTCAACAAAGACATAAATACAATAAAAATATATGCCTAGGCCGGACATTCATTTCATAATAAATTACTTTTTTCTTCTTCTGTAGTTATGTATTTTTTTTTAGACTTACATGGGTATTGATCACAATGAAGTTAGTACAATATAAAATTTCATGTGCCGTGTCCCCGTATTTGTATCTATTTTTTGGACACTTTTTAACCAAGTTCCCGTACCCTCACTTTCTAGGAATAGGCAAATCTAACACTTAGACACATACCCATATCCGACACCTGCACCCGAGTCCGTGTAACATAGGTCTTATGCACTTTGGCACCAAATCACCCTCTTCAATCTCCTCTACCTTTATATGTAAAAAAATAGACAAAAAAGGCCATTCCAGAATCTCATGCCATCAATCTTAACTATTCCTTCATTGCACTACTAAATGATTCTATAATTACAGTAAGTGTGTTAGGTTTTACACACACTTGCCACAAAATAGTATGATGCCAAGGGTATGTTATCATGATAAGTCAATTTTATGTCCCAAACACCATGGAAACTACCAAACCATGGAAGTGATTCTTCCATATGTCCAACCAACTAGTTTGTTATTAGTATTTTTAGTACAAGAAAAGAACTCAATCTGAATTCTGAACCTGCAAATAAGTATGCTTGTAATATGAAATTTTCATATGCCACTCTTCCACTTATTCTTTTGCAGTTGTAGATCTATCTTAGTGATTTTTATCCATCCCTACAAATATCTCTATATATATGCATATGACTACCTTCCTAAGAATGGTCCATATTATTTCAGGAGCCATATGTGAGTTTATTGAAGTTCCAAAAAGGGAAGTGGATTCATACCACCATCAGTTAGCTGGAGTGGTGTTTCACACCTCTTCCAAAGTTGGAGGTGTTGGTTCCAAGTCCCAACCCGGTTAGCCCCCCACCCCCACAAAAGGAGAAGATTTACGTTTCAAATCCAAGGAAGGATACCAACGCATATGGTTTAGATAAAAAATAAAAGAAAAAAAAATAATATAGACTTCCTCTCCTATCCAAAACCACTTCATAAGTTCTTTGATTAGTAAAATGGCATCTACATGATTGATATTACTGACACAAAGAGAAAAAATACATCTTGGAATACCCATCATTCAAGTATTACTATTTCCTCAACTAGTCTCCATCAAAGTATTGTCAGATTACACGACCTTATACATTTTCTCCATAAATCAAGAACATTAAAGCAAGTATTTGATTGAATTCGTGAAATAAAGCATCCAAAAAAAAATCAAAATTGTCTATGTTACTTTGATTTTCTTTAGCTCTAACTATTCAACAACAGTAGCAAAAACAAAGACAAAAACACGAGAGTTGGGCATTTACCTTATCAGAATGCGATTTTCGCTCACTCAATACAGAAAATGGAATCCTCAAAACATCAAATCAGCAAAAACAAGCGGTTTATCTCCAGCAACCATCTCCATTTCCACTATTTCAATCACAAGACTCTAAATTTGGCAAAACCCACTTCAAATTACAAACGCAACCCAACGGCAAACCAAACCCAATTCCCAAAACCAGCTGAAATTGATGTTGAGAAACGAAAAAGGCACATCGGATTACGAAAGCAAATTTGAAGAAATCCGAATCGCAATTACTGGAGAGATATCTTTTAAACCCTAGGCATGTGGGCTCGATGCCAGACCAAATTAATGATACATAGCGTTATTGTATATTATATATATATAGAGGATGAGACAAAGAAATAGAGGAAAGGGATTGGGTTTTATCAGATAAGACGTGAACAAGGACGTCGTAGCAATTCTGAGCCGTAAAATCTCCTGGCATATGTATACGTATAGGTGTCTAAGTGTAGAGAGAGAAAGTGGGTGAGAGTTTTAGAGAGGTATCAGCGAAGAATATGTATGGGATACCGACGAATGGACATGTGGTGTTGGTTCGGGGTGATTGGATTTTTTATTTGTTTTTTTTTAGATTTTGAACTGATGATTAGATTTGAAACCGGAGATTCATTTAGCCTCCGTTTGGGAAGTGGGTTGGCTTTTTGATTTTTTAGTTTTTTTGACTATTTTAGTCTGGGCTAAAAAGCTTAGTTTGGGAAGGACTTTTTGGCTTTTTGACTTTTTTGACTTTTTTTGTGAGAGAAGAAGAGTGTAATGATTATGGGTTGGATGTGATGTTTTGTTTGTTATGGCTAAAATAACCTATTTTGTTTTTTGTGGCTAAAATAGCCAAAAAAGCCCAACCAACTTCTTCCCAAACGGTGCCTAAGGTTGTTTCGAAGGTTTTAGATAAATGTACTTTTTAATTTTTTGAATTAAAAAGTTAAGAAAAAAAGACATTATTTGAAATAATTTTTTGATTTTTTACGAAAAAATATGTATTAAAAATTGTACAAATTAGTCTATAGGAGAAGCTTGGGCAGAATAGGTAGTACAGTGGACAAGGTAGTGTATAGAAGAAGCTTGCCTCCTTTTCGAGTATTGAATTGGACGGTGTTGTTTTGTCCGTGGGGGCCCATTACGGGTCCCGCTTTATTAATCGGAACCGTTGAATATGTAGAACTCGTTAAGTATTATATGCTCATAAAAAATCACATTAATTGGATATCGATAGCTATCTGATCGGATTAGTTTTTGTCAACCTTTAATTATAACGCCATCTATTTTTTATACAAAACTGATTTGATCATGTAGTTAGCAATATCCGATCAATATGATTTTTGATAGGCATATATTGCTCAATGAGTTCTACATATTAACGGTTCATATTATCAAAACGAGACCCGTGATGTGTCCCCACGGGCCGAACAACACCGTCTTGTTTGCTTCTCCGCCTGTTCCTTTTGTACAAACGGTGGCAGTTAAAATACAACTCACGTGACATGTGAGTTGTACTTTTTTTTGTGCAATTAATTTTTTTATATTTTTTTTGGTGAATAATAATAACTTTTTTACTTTTTTGAGGTATGCCAAACTAGCCCTTAGTCCTTATTTGCCATATTGGTTGGGTTGTTTTTTTTTTTTTTTTATAATTAAAATAGTCACACAAAATAAAATAGATTAAAAAATTAATAAGACAAAATGTTATATTTAAATCATAATTATTTTATTTTTTCTCTTATAAAATCTAAAAAGTTCATTCCAAACGAAACTTTTCAGCCTCAAGTTAAAAAAATCAAAAAATTAAAAAGTCAGCTTACATCCCAAACGAAACCTTATATGGGTTATTTGAAGGTACTTCTTATTCTCATACAATTTTCTTTTACAGTACTGTTTGGTTGTTCGAATATGAATTTTTTTGAAATCGTTTAAATTTTGACTTGTCGATCGTCCGACTGGTCATTTAGGAAAAATGTGACAACCGCAATCGACAAGAGTGATAACCACGGTAGACAAGTGTTTGCACTGGTCGTCTTGGCAATCGTTCGAGCGATCGACCAACAAACACAAATTCAAGCTCTCAGGCAAACTCAAATTCGAACTACCAATCATTTTTCTTTATTTTAAATATATTCATTTGTTTATTCGTATTATACATAGTTATATTAATATTCTTAAATTTTTTATTTTTTCAGAGAATATATTTTGTGCAAAAAGATATTAATGTAAATACGTATAATAAGGGGAAAAAAAGAATATATTTAAAATAAAATGAAGTGAAAATAGTGACTCTATTTAAATGGAAAACTTTTACACTATAGAAAAATATACTCTTTCAATTATAAAAACGTATAAATTAATTCTCTAAACCATTAAAAAATATCATTTTACTTGTTAAATAATAAAGCATACAATGAACCCTCTATTTCCACTTTGAACCATTTTATTAAGGAATTCAATTGGTATATTTTTATAATTATGATATCTATTTATATGTTTTTATAATTTAAGATATTAAAATAATATTTTTTAATAATTTAGAGTGGTTTTATATAAATAACCCATTTATATATGAAAGGACTCGTGGTTGGTGAGCTTACACGACATCTAGTATACCACGCGAGTGTTTTAACTCGTGGAATGCATTTTTGATGCGATGTTGTTTCCATTCTTTATGCACATGCATTACATGTTTTTTTTCATGATATTTTTTATTATTCTTAATGAAATTCTTAATGATTACTAAAATTAAAAAAATTAAAATTGTTAAGTTGTTCAATGTCTAACCCAAACTAAATTTAAGTATTTGAATTTAATTTAAGGCCACTATTATGTGTGCATGAGATAAAATATTTTTCTTTTAACTTAATAACATAATTTTATTATGAAGAATTTGTAGAGGACATTTCTCTCTTTATGTCTTCTAACTTTTTTTTTTTTGATCAGCAAAAAGGAACCTTTATAGATGCAAAAACCAAACAAGAAGAGAGATTACAACAACAAAGGAGGAGGAAGAGGAGTTTGGCGAGGAACCAAACCCAAGAAGAAGAAGAAAAACAAAGACGAGAACAGCAAAAGCAAACCAACAGACCAAAAGCAAACCGACAGCAAACCAATAGCAGAAAACCAGCCCACTGCAATTGACCTTGGGATTAACCAGAACTTCGGGCACAAAACCAGAACAAGCCTTGCTAGTGACCTTGGCAATATGATCAGTCAATAGCAACCAGACCTGACCAAACCTGTCCTATGCTGCAGCCAAAAAACAACCAATGCATAGCAGCCAAAAAGAACTAGAACAACCCAACCCCAGCAACCAACACAAACCAGAACCAGAATTCACCATTGCAGATCTTCACCCAGCAATTCACCACAAACCTGAGTAATTCACCAAGGCTGAAGCTGCAATGCAACAATTGAAGTGCTGTTGCGACAAGACAAAAGCCCTACCAACAGAACCAATGCAATAGCAACCAAATAGCAATCCTAGAAGTTTTAAACCAATGCAGTAGTAACCAAAAACCAAACCCAGCAGATTTAATTCTTCCACAGAAGAACCCAACCCCAGCAATCAACACGAACCCAGCAATTTACCACACACCTCAAAAGGCCAACCTGATCTGATGAAGATTGGACACGATGTCATAGACTGAATAATTCACCACCACATGGCATTTGATCCACAAGGCTATCTTCACCTTAATTTTCTCGCACAACTCTTGAATGTTGGGATGAGCACCCTTGAACACGCAGTCATTCCTCAGCTTCCAGACAGACCATAACACAACAGCAGGGACAATCTGCCACGCTTTGAGTAACCAGCCTTTGAACCTACCTCCAGCCCACCAATGTAGCAGGTCTGCTACTGATCCTGGTATGGCCTAAACCTGATCCCACCAGTCAATCATAGTAGACCAACACTTCCACACTAGAGGGCAAAACAAAAGAACATGATCAACAGTTTCCACCTCAGCTTTACAGAGAACACAGAGAATGTTAGCATTCGTATCAATAGCCCCTATTCTTTGAAGAAAGGAAGTAGTTTTTACCCTGCCACGCCAAGCCAACCAACAAAGGAACTGCATTTTTGGAGGAGCAAAGCTTACCCACACCCCCGGAGGAACACCCAGACCAAGGCCCCTAGCTGCGACCCTCCACCTCCACACAGATGCAACTGTAAATTGCCCTGATTTCTCTGCTGCCCACGAGCAGGAATCCTCAATATCAGATCTTAGAGAAGGGGATAGAACCAACAACCCTAGCAGCCTCTGAACCTCCTCCTCTTCCCAAGCTAATAAATTCCTTCTAAACTGAAGCTGCCACTCCCCTAGGGTGCTCTTCTTTGCACTGATTTGCTGCAGAGACTCCTTCTTCTCTGTTGATAAACTAAATAATCTGGGGAATTTAGCTTTCAAGGCTCTGCTACCCAACCAAGTGTCATGCCAGAAGATGATTCTCCTCTCATTACCAATGATGATTTTGACCTGATCAGAAAAAAAAGCACCCAGCTGCTGGTTGACCAGAGAAAGCTGTGAGATGTCCTTCCACACAATTGAAGTTCCACCTGATTGATTTACCAGGGGACTCCAACCCCCTCCGATCCTACCATACCTAGAGCACACCACAGATTTCTACAGAGCCTTGTTATTCCTACCGAACCTCCACCACCACTTCAAGAGTAGGCACTCATTTACCTCTCCTAGATCCCTCACTCCCAAGCCTCCTTGACTCTTGCTCTTGGTAACCTCTTTCCATTTCACTAGGTGCACTTTCCTACTGGTTGCAGATCCCCTCCACAGAAAATTGGCCTGCAGTTTAGAGATAATCTTTACAACTCCTCTAGGCATTTTGAAAAGAGACAGGAAATAGATCGGCAAATTAGATAGGGCTGATTTAATCAAAGTTAGTCTACCAGCAAAGGATAATAACTTTCTCTTCCAAGATGAAAGTTTCTTATGAATTTTAGCCACAACTGGGGCCCAAGTGATCTTCCTGCTGGGATTGGACCCTAAAGGCAAGCCTAGGAAATTAAATGGCAGCTTCTTAGAAAAACAATTCAGGATCTTAGCAAACTCCTTGGATTGATCATCCTGGTAGCCCACCCCGCACACAACACTCTTGTGATAATTGATCTTTAAACCAGATATCACCTCAAAGCGCCTCAACACCCTCTTTATATTCAAAATTTCATCCTTACTACCTTCACAAAAAATAATAGTGTCGTCTGCGAATTGCAGGTGTGAAATACCCAACTGGTCAGAGCCTACGACAGCACCTTTAAACAAGCCCTTCTCTTCTGCCCTTTTCAATAACAGATTGAGTCCTTCAGCTGCCACGATGAACAAAAATGGGGCTAAAGGATCCCCTTGCCTTAAACCCTTCTGTGGTTGGAATTTCTCAGTAGGTGAGCCATTGACCAATATAGACACCTTAGCTGTTGAAATACAAGTTTTCATCCACCTAATCCATCTTGCACCAAAGCCGAAGTTACCCA